AATCCTGCAGAAGAAATGATGCATTATTTAGTCAGTCGCTCATTATTTTCTGTATTTTGATGATTTCACAACATTTACAAAAGCAAATAAATATTGATATTAAATCAATGTTCCAAACTCATTTAAAGCTAGAAAAAGCTTTATTTAAACATGACGAAGATGAACGAGCTTTCACTGACGACAAAGTGCAGATATCTCATTTAATCATACTGTGAAATATCTCAACTGAAAGGACGGAGTGGACTCAGTGCTGCCACCGCAGAAGCGTCCCACCTACAGCCAGCCCAGCATCATGCCTCGCAAACAGTGGGTGGTGGTGAAAACAGAACGCATGGAGGACGACGACCTCATCGTTGTGTCCGGGGAAGAAGGAGGCGAGGACGAGGAGGACGAGGACGAGAGGGAGCTGGAGCTGGCCAGAGAGAGGGAGAGGAGCGACTTCAACATTTCCAACGTCAGGAGCCTCTCTGTCGAGCTGGGAGGCAGAGCCGAGAACGACATGGACTCACAGGTGAGCTGAAAGTCTAAAGATTTATAACGTGGCACTGCCACAATGAGTCAGACCTGATGAAGATTTCAAATTGCACAGAACGAGGCTCAGACTCAGACTCAGGGACTCTAGTTGCCTCCACATTGAACCCATGCTGCACTGCCCAGAGCAGAATATGTAAAATCACATTGACAGTTTTAAGAGTCCTGATGATGCCGATCCCAGCAAACTGTCTCTCCAGGTAGGTTTTTGTTGTTAAGCGTTCATCACATCTAAAGTCCCCTCTCCCCGTCTGTCTCTAGATGGACTACTGCCAGTCTTCAGAAGACTACCTCAAGTTTGAAGGCAGTTTAATGGACCAGACTTTAGCTCAGCACCTTCACGACAGCGCTGCAGGTCAGAGCCAGAGCGCGAACCGTGCGGTTTCAGCGCTGCTGGGCCAGGTTCAGTCTGCGGCTACGGCCCGTGCCCAGCTCTTCCCCCTGGACATGCAGGGGAACCAGATCCTCCTCTACAGCCAGGCCTCTGGACTCTCGCTGGACGCTGCCGCCCCCCCTCTAGGGATGGCAGGTGGGATGATAGGAGCAGCGTCTTTCAAAGGTCCCAATCTGGAGCATGGTGCGGTCCAACTGTCGATGCAGGGTGGTTTGGGAGTTGATGGCTTGGACAGTGGGGGGATTGGAGGTGGCAGCAGTGGCAGCAACAGCAGCACTGGGGGTTCTGGGAAAATGTTTATGTGTCACTGTGGTAAGACGTTCACCCACAAGAGCATGAGGGATCGCCACATTAACATGCACCTGGACCTGAGGCCCTTCCACTGCCCCGTCTGTGCCAAGAAGTTCAAGATGAAGCATCACCTCACGGAGCACATGAAGACGCACACGGGCCTCAAGCCGTACGACTGCCTCGGCTGTGGCAAGAAGTTCATGTGGCGCGACAGCTTCATGAGGCACCGCTCGCACTGCGAGAGGCGCAGCAGGCTGGGGGAGAGCGGGGAAGGAGGGGGCAGCGGCGAGGGAGGGAGAAGAGGGGGAGGCGGAGGGGAGGATGGGACGGATTTGATTTCCTCCGCTCACCTCCTCCTGTCTGCAGGTGAGGGAGGTCAGGGTAATGTTCAGGGAGGAGGAGGAAGAGGAGGAGTGTCTGTTTCTTCTCCACATCTCACCGGCGGCGTCTCAGCCACAGGAAGCAGCAACAGCAACAACATGGCAGCCGCAGGGGCGCTTCTGGGGGTCGTCTCTCAGAGTCCAGGTCAGGGATCTGGGATGTTTGGTGCTCTGGTGTTGGGTCGGAGTGTGTGTGGTGAAGACAGTGCCAATGATAACAGTGTGACTTAAACCAAAACTGTGTGTCATGTCCAACGGGCCTCTTGGTGAGATAACGGTCGTGTTCCTGGTTCCTGCTGCTGTTTTACTAACAACTCTTAACTGCCAACACTCAGCATTTCAAGCAGGAAGTGCGTATCATGGAGAACAGGTGAGGCTCCAGTTGGACACTGAAGCAGAAGCTGTAGATGTTCACAGAAAAACAGGACGTTGAGATTCCAGTGGACTTGTGGGGAGAAGTTTCTCAAACATACTTTTCTATCAGAAGTTATCTGCAGTACATGTTCCATGAAACCTGTCTCCGAAAAGTGGCCTCATAAAAAAATGAGCTTTTGTCTCAGTGAGTAAGCTATTGTTTAAATATGTGAGATGTTATTAAAGTTTATTTTTTTGGTTTTGCGGGAGAGTGCGTGTGTGTCGAGAGGAAACCAAAAATGAGAAGACAGTGCTTCACTAACTGTGACAACATTATATCTGTAGAGTAGAAAAATGGCTGTTTCTAAATCGCTGTGATTTTTCTGCAGTATCGTATTGTGATTTCTTGCTGTAATCAGATTTTTAAAAAAAACCAGGAATGAAGGAAAAGAGGAGATTTACATAGTGAAACCAAAACAGGCACCAGGTTTTAGCAGATTTCAAAGCTCACTCAGATTTCCTAGTTAAAGTCTTAAAGACGAAAACATTGCAGATTTGTGTTTCTCTTCTTTTTCTTTGAATTCCTCACAGCAGCAGCCGCGGTGCATCTTTTCCTGCCCCATGTAACAAACTGATGACACCACGCTGCTGTTTGGATTACAGTTACAGATCAGTCATTCTTCTCATCACAGGGGGACACGTCCCCGACACGTGAACAGGGAAGGACAGTTCGGACTTGTTCGCCAGTTTCGCTGCTGTTACCTGCTTTCACTTTCTTACTTTGTCGTTCACAGAGTTCTCGTGCTGTGAGTATATTATTCTAATTGTAAATATATAGAGATATATATATATATAACGTCAGACCTGGAACAAATACTAACTTGGGACAGATTCTAGTTCTTGAGAACATTTTTTAATTTGTTCTGCACTGGGTGTCCTAAAATTTCAATAAGCATCAAGTAGCTTTAGGGAAACCTGACGATGGAAGATGGTGAACATAACTAAGCTATACAGTGTATAGTGCTTATACCTCCTCTGAATGTCGAGTTTAATCCAGTTATGAAGCATTGACTGTAAACTAAAGATGGACGACACTTCCTCCCACTATCCAGCAATGAAGCCAAAACATCATAATAATCAATATTTGAGATGTTTGCACCCCCTTGTGGTCAGAGCTGACACTGTTACAAAGAGATGATGTTATAATGTGTGTTCATGAAGATATGTGGCTGTAACTGTTTTAGTTCCATGTCCAACATAACGTCAACCAAACCAAACATAGTTCCAGTGTTGCAGTGAAGTTAACGCACAGTGAGCGGAGGAGGAAATATCACACATGACCTCATGAACATGTCGAATGCCTTCAGAGATGTTTCCCTACAGAGGATGTGAATGCTTTACCTTCTGTGAAGGCTGAGTTTGGATGTTTTTATAGACCCAGGTTTGCAGCTCGTCCAAGTGGTGAGTGATCTGTGTTCAGGACTGTGCTTCAGCTGATGTTTGTTCCCGCTGCTGCTGAATTAGAGCAAAAGAGAAAACACTGGACGTTAACGTGTGAGAGATGTGTCTCATGGTGATCTCATGGTTTTCTTTGGTGAGCAGTTTGAAGTGCGCCAACACTCGACAGCTTTTAAACATGCAGACAGAGTTTCAGTCTCCCACTTTCACACTTTACCTCCGGATCATCTTCACCAGTCAGCCACAGGAAGGTTCAACCAATATTTAAAGCAACACTATGTAACTCTTACTCAGCAACAGCGCCCTCTGCAGGACGTTCTGGTCGAGAAGTGGGAATGAAAAAAGGAAACATTCTCCATATTCAGTCACCGAAACATCAAACTGCTGTTTTAAAGTATTGAGTCATAGAGTTGCTTCAAATAATAGAGCAGCAGTTTATATCAGACAGATATAAATGTAATTTCAATACAACTGCACCTCAATTCTCTTATGTAGAATTCGACTTTTTAAATTTTTTTAAGAATTACAGATGTTAAAAAATGTTTGAAACAGCCCTCTGATATTAAAACGTCCAAATTGGAAAGTTTATCTCATTTAATAAAACTTTTCTTCTAACAAAAAAATGTATTAATAACAAAGAGACCTCACGTTTTCTTGTCTTGTTTCTGACCAACAACAAATCAAAACGACAACTCTCTGAAGCCATGAGTCTAGTGTGAATGAATGATAGAGAAACATGACGATGGAGGATCAGAGCTGAAAGCTGCTGCAAACCACACTGAGGTCTTTTTATTATTTTTGTACATTACACAGGTTCTTTAACGTCTTTGACTGACCAGCTGATTGTTGAACAGAAAACGTTGTAAATCCTGAATGGAGTGATACTAATAATGTAAGAAACTACAGTACATGAATATTCAAATCTGCCCTGTATCAGAAATAATGGATTAATAAATTTCTTGGTGCAAATACTAGTCAGAGTTTGTTTTTAATCTGTTCTCGACAAATGGAAAGAAATCTTTGGCTTCGTCTATGTATGAGACCATTATAAATAAAGATGGACGACACAAAAATGAAGCCAAATCATTTTGATCGCCTCCTGGTGGCCTGCTACATTATAAGTCATAAACCTAGTATCCTCCTTGTAAGCAGATGGGACATGGACCAAATTAACGTCACACATCAGATAAATGTATAAATATATCTGTTAGTTTTTTTACGGTGAAGTTTTGCTTTAATTAGTTACTTGATGATATAAAAACCAGGTGAAATGTAATGATTGACAGCTGAGACTAACTTGTGATTGGGCGAGGACTTTGATACCACAGCCACGCACCACGATCGCTGCTGCACAAGCTCGGGCTCCGAATGTCGTCAAAAGCACAAGATTCGTATCCGAGATACTTAGGCTTCATTTCTGGACAGTGGGAGGAAGTGGAGACGTGTTGTCCATCTTTATTTAGAGTCTGTGGTAGAAAACATCATTTCTAAAATCACATTAACCAAAAAAACATTAAAATTCACGTTCACGTCTTCTCAATATCTGATACATTTAGTTCAAGAACCGGTAAATCCCCAAATCAGCAACACAGAGTCTGTATATAACAAAATGCATCATTTATTTTTATCAAAAATTTAAAAGAAAACATTCTTCACAGTGAATGATGATCGCTCCTCTGCAAAAATGAGGCCTGATGGGTCGCAGTTACAATAACTACATTCCTGGGCTACATTCTAGAAACTTAGAAAAGAGCATTTCCCAAAAAATATTTCACATGTGGCAAAATTTAATAAAGTGGAATTAAACACTGTCCATCTTTTACAGGAGCAGCAACACATCTGCACTTTGGCCACAGAAACTGTATCTATCATATTCGCTGATCATTAAAGGCAACACTGTCCAACATAAAAAAAACTTTACTCTTAATATAACAGGGATGTAAAAATATCAACTTCACTGGTTTGATTTTTTTAGTCAAGCTGGATTTCATTCTTACATTTAAGAAACTTCCTTGTTGAGAACTCAGTTTTTTTTACAGGTATTTGAGATGTTAACAGTTGTTTATCTCCAGATTAGATTGATAGATAATCGTTTTCTGGGTGAAGGTCAGTTGCATGATGACACAATCTGTGACGATGATGCATGATTTTTCTTTCAGATAAGTCAGAATCAAGACAAACATTTTAACATAGAGCCTGAAAATGTTCTGCTTTTCTTTATTGTCAACAAACGCCACAAAAAGACCAAAAGCAACGATGCATTAGTCTGTCTCTCGTGGCTCTCGGCTCCAAACCCTCTGGTTCTTTCCGCTAAAGAGGAAGTTGTCACCCGTCTGTTTGTTGGGTGTTTGGATTGTCAGCAGGATTAAACAAAAACTATGAAACTGATGGAAGGATGTTACATGGACCAAGAAAGACCCCACTAAATTTTGGCGTGGATCAATTAATTTAACATTGTGTGATTAGATATTTTCACTGATTGCCCAAAGAATATTTCATAGATCTTTATAGGAAGAAAAAAAGACAAATGTTTATGGGTGTGTGCAACGTGGTGCAGATCCACACAAAAATCTGGATCCAGTGAATTAAAATGTGGATTCATAAGGAACTGTTGGACTGTGGCCAGGTATGTGTGTATTTCTGACATCGGGACGGTGTGTGTGACGGACTGAGTCAAAATAACCTAGTTTGTGTTCTGTGCATGTTCTTGGACAATAATGGAGCTCAGAGATTAATCAGACTTCAGATACAAAGTTGATTCATAATTCATGAACAGTTGGTCTTTTGGTGGGATTTGTTCCCAGTAAGTAAAATATAAATTATTCACTTGGACTAATTATAGGAAACGATTCAGTGAGGCTGCAGCAGCCACAGGTCTGAATCAAGAAAGTTACTTTATATTAAACCCAAAAAATTTAAATATGTTTGAAGGGAAAACATTAAAAAAGATCTCCATCATCACTGCTGTCAACAAAGTGCAAACCACCACACAGCTCACTCACTCAAAACATCAATATCAACAGCAAGTCAAATCATTTCCTCTTATACAGAGCCGCACTTCCCTCTGCTGAAGACGCCACTGAAATATAAAAATGTAAACAAACCGGCAGGGAGCTGCTGCTGCCGCCAGTCGAGTGTCTGTGAAAACAAAAACTCTCTGTTCCGGCCGCATGTCCGACTGTACAGGTCGTGTTTTCAGGCACTGGATTCTTACCTAATGAACACTCGGTAAAGTTCAGGGTTCATGTCAGTAACAATCATTTCAATGATGCTGCCAGAGGGAACCACAGGAGCATCAGTAGTGTTGCGCTGACGGGCAGGAAACAGCTTTAGTCTTCTAAACGATTCAGACGAACTCTCTGTAGAAAACATCAGATAAAACAGCCGAGGTCGACCTCGGCCGGCGTTTCTCTGCTCCGAGAAAAATAAAAGGTTTTCTCTGAAGAATGTGTCGGAACATGAGGCCTCCAAGAACTTTGCCCCCCCCTCACAAAAAAACATCCTGTTCACGCTCTTTCCTGTTAATGTTAGCTCACAATTATTTTATTAAAGTTGTTTACAAAAACCTGCCTTTGCTTTTGTTTGGTAATCAGTTGACATGAGGTACTAAATTCAGCTTTCCCTGTCTTCCGTTTTGTAAAATTTCTTGACTGTTTGGATTTATACCAGCACTTTTCTCAACAATTCGAGAAACAGGAGCTTTCAGGAAATCGCTGCCAGGATCAAGCCAGAGGTGGAAGAGTCTCTGCAGTACTAGTGAGGGGTCAAAGGTGAAGGGTCACTCTGAGTCAGAGAGGACAATGATCTCATCTGGGTCACACTGGGTCGCCACGTTCACCTGGAAACACAAACAAATCTTGGCTGTAAAAATGTAATGTTAAAAACCAAATCACAGGAGTGCAGTTGTTTAAATTAACAGGACACTAGTACAGAATTATCACATGAGGATATACCTTGTTTTTCTTGGGAGGCGGCGTCAGCTGTGAGCTGCTGACAAGGTCCTGGGGGGGAGTGTCTGCTCGGATGGCTGGTGGAGAATTGCAGCTAAAAACACCCATATCCAGAGGGATGTCTACCTCACTGAGCAGAGGAGGGAAGGATGTAGAAAGATTACTGTGCAGGTAAAAATCTGTCTGATAAATGGAATTTATTATATATAATTAACAATTGCAGTGTCAAAAATCGCATATTTCAGTTTGTACAATAGCTGTGTCTCCATTCAGGGGTCGACATCCTTCAGAGGCTGCATTTGAGGACACATTCTGTCACAGACGCAGTAGACTGTCGACGACACATCTCCACTACCCAGAAGTGAAGCTAAAATATCCTGAATACAAACACTGCCATCTTGCACCGATGACGTCATTTGAAGCCACGATCTGTCCAGTAGCGATCGGGGGATGGAGTCGCTGTAGCGAGGTCCCAGTCACTTCGTTGTGCTCGACCACTTGAGTCGGTCTCAGCTGTGACCTTATTTTTATATCTTCTTTATAAGACATTTAACAAACACCATCTTTGGAAAAAAGATTTATCTGGCGTCTACTTTGACATCTTTAGTCTGGTCCATCTGCTAAAATAGAGGTGAGGTTTATGACCTGCCACCAGAGGGCGATGGAGAAGCTTTGGCATGATCATGTTGATTTATTTTTGAATATTAAAAGTCCCATTTTAACAGTTTCTAAAATAAAAGATTCCCTAAGTTTCTCATTTCTTTTGTCAAAATGTTTCAAACCAACCCACCAATAAAAAGCTTCAAAAATCTAATCAACAATCAAACTGTACAACATTAGATTTACTTTGAGAAATAAGTAAACTTAACTTGTTTCACTGCTGCAACTATCACAATGTGTAATACATGACAGTAAAGCCTGACAGTACCTGTCCTGGATGTGCTTTGTATTTATGGAGACCTCTGGTGTTATTTCCTCCCTCTTCCTCTTCTGACTCCTCGTAGCTCTGGGGCTGGGGGGTGGCGACGTGCCGTTGGTTGTCATCGTGTTCGATTTTTCTGAGATCATTGCTGATGATGGAGGTGAAGACTCCCCATTGGCTGCTACCAGGGAGATGTCTGGAGTCACTTGACTGGTGCTTACCAGCACGGCCGAGACATGGTTGGAGGAATCCACACACTCCTCTAGTCCTGCAAGTTTACCATTAGACAATGGCTGCTGCTCATCAGTCTGCATGGGCTCTGATTGACTCGGGCTGTCTCTAGGTGAGGGGATATCAGACAGCGAGATCTGGGATTTGTTGTCATCAGATAGAGGACTGAGTCCACTCGTGACTGGCTCTTCTACCTCTTCTTTAACGCTTCCCAACAGCTCGTCTGTCTGATCCTCCTTGTTGGCGTCATCTCCTGCTTGCTCCGCCTCATTGCTGTTGTCGTCCTCATTCTCGTCATTGTCTACGGATAAAAATAAAATTTAAACAGTGAAATTGTTACTGTTACTGTTGATGAGAAATGTTCTGCAAAGTTTAAAAGTCTTAAATCTGTGGAAACACCCAAAACACCTGGTCAGTAGTACGGCCAATAATTCCCTGTGAACATTTAAAATGTTTTACAGAAGAAAATTAAAGAATTGTGAATTAACATGTTCACTCTCACCAGGTCCATCCTGCTGCGTGCTGGCCTGGAGCTCCTCCTCTATGTCTGGATCTGATGAGTCATCTTCTTCTTCATCCTCCTCCTCCTCCGGTTCTTCTTCCTCCTCTGCCACTCCATTCACCTCTTTACTTTCTCCTCCCTTTTCTGATTTGTTGTCCTGAAAACAGGATGTGTAAGAGGAGAGTCAGACAGAACCGGATGATGGGGAGAGAGGGCGACCAGGGGAAGAGAGTGTACAGAGGGAAAGATGGTGCAGCTCAAAGTTAACTGGCTAGGTTCCTCTTTCCTCATTAATGTGGTTCAATTAAACTGTGTTTGAAAAAAACCAGGTGCATTGAGCAGCCAACAGAAACAATCACACTTATGATGCATGTATAACTGGTCGAACAAGTCCAACACCCGATAGGCTCAGTAATGGTGCAAGTCTCTTACTCACTCACTCAGAAACATTTTGTTTTTGAGGCCTTGCTGCTGCAGTCGCAATAAAAAAAAGAAAGGATAAGATCTTGTATCAGTCCCGTAAATTATCTCCATCAGCAGTGATGCACCAACATTTAAGGATTATTCCATCTACAACCAACTGTTACATTATTTTTCTAAAAGATTTGACTTTACTTGCTTTGAGTTTGATCATCAAACAAACACTTTATCTAATAAACCTGGACAATCTACTGCAATCCAGTATAAGAGCTCTGCAATAAATTCTACTTTCAGAAAGTTTTCACTGTTCAGTTTTTGGTGGAAATGTAAACATTTAATTATATGTTTACTTCTGTACTGGATTATATTGGGAGTGATTTCTCATTAGTGGTCCTCCCCTGAAGGCAAAATATTTAGCTGTTGCAGAGATGAACTCAGTAATGAAAAAGAGGAACTATACACGTAGATGAAGATGCAAGATAGAAAGACAAAGAAAAGCAGAAGAAATCTTCTGCCCTTCTTCTCCTGATAAAGCCATACCTCTTTCTCCTGTCTTCTGTTCCTCTCCTGCTCCTCCGTGTCGTCTTGTCTGATGGCGTACTTGGAGATAACCTCCTCCAAGCTGGAGAGTGCCACTTCTCGGTTGGATCGCAGCTTTCTTTGCAGTGAGGGGTTCAAAAGAGCCGGGTCTGAGGCTACGGAAGGTGATGGAGAGAAGAGAAGAGAGATGACAACAAGAGAACAGCAGAAGGAACAGAGGGACAAAAAACACAGGTGAATAAATTAGATTTAGATTACAACAAAAGAAAGAAAGAAAGAAAAGAGATGGAATGGAACATTTTTTTATATTTAAATTAATTTGAATAAAAGGCACTCTGAGAAACAGGAGCCTTACAAGGTTTGTAGTTGTCGGTGAGATGCGAGCCGAAGTTGTAGACCAGGTCAAGGTGACGTCTCTCCTGCATGCGGCTCCCGGTCTCTCTGAAGGCGTCCAGGGCTATGTGGTTCAGTACTTTCCTGCTCAGACAAAGCTTGTAGCGTTCGTTGGCGCGCAACACCAGCTGGAGGATGTCTTGGTAATCCGGAGGGTTCCTCTGTGCCTCTGGACTGTTAATGAAACGCTCGATCTGAAACAAGGGAGGAGGTGAGGTTATCTACAGCTGTGGTACAGTCTGGTTTACACTGATGACATGCTCCACAACTTAAGGAGCCTAGACCTGATGGTGTCAGGACCCTCAGCCCTTTTCACTTAGTTTACACTGATTTAAATGGTTTTAAGCAACAAAATGCCACCTTACCCTTTTGTTGATCTCAGGATAACGAGTGCTATTGTAAGCGATCCTCTGCTCAATGACTCGGCCCGTTAGTGTGTTGCAGCCCTTTAGTTCACACAGCTTTTCATAAATTTTCATCATCTGGAGAAGAAGATGACAAAGAACAAAGACGTCTGACAAGCAGCCACTAAACCTGGTGTACTGAGTTTGTAACTGAAGCCCTGTGGAGTAGAGTCTCCATCAAACCCCCAACCTAACCTTGCGTTTCAGCTTGTGCTCCTGGATGTATAAAGAGTCCTCGGCTCCAAGGTCGTCTAAACTCAGTTCGGCCTGCTGCAGGCGGCAGATCTCGTCGTTGTACACCTTCAGCAGGTTCTCCAGGTACGCTATCTGAGAGGAATCAAGAACAGACAGAAAGAGTCAGATGTGTTCCTCTACACAGGCTGCATCCAAAATAATATACTGTTGTTTTTATATAAATCACTGCTGCTACATTTATGTCCACTGACCTCACTCACTGACTTATCAATGCATATTTATTGATTCCTGTTATTAATACTGTTTTATCTGCTTTTATCGTTCATATTTTCATTCTCCTTCACTCTCCACTGATTTCACTTTCTGGTCTTCATTTCAAACAACAAACAAATATCACTATTAATCACAATAATCATCAGCTGAATCAACAAAACAAGTCTCTACTAACTTGTTTCCTGGATGCCCTCTTTGCCTTTTTCTCTGTTTCTTGTTCGTCCACTTTGTTGTTTTCCTGCAGCCCTGAGGTGGAAGGTTGCTCATCTTCAGCTGAGGGTTTCCCACATTCCTCATCCAGCTTATCTTTAGTCTTGTCTTTACTTTTAAGCATAACAGAGGTAGGCTGGAGAGAACTTAGTGTTGAGGTAGAAGACCCAGGCTCAGCCTTGGTGAGGGTCTGCCTCTTCTTGGCGGTATGCTGCCTGAGTACAGTGCACAGTTCATTAATGTAGACAAAGGTCTTAGAGCGGTGGGCCTGAGCGCGAGTCAAACATCTCCCCAATGTGTTCCTGAATTCCACAGATGACAGATAGTCAGGGGAGGCCTTGGCATGCTTGGTTTGTAGGAAGCTCAAGACCTCGGGACAGTCCTGGGTGAGAGTCGAGCAGTACTCCACAAACTGGAGGGAAGCAGAAAAGAAAACACACAGATGAAGAGAGTGAGAGAGTGGGCATGTTGCTGACATTGGTAACACATGACAGACATGAAAGTGGAAGAATATAAATATCTCAGGATGAAAGAAAGAAGTTGTGTATGTAGATGATGGTGACGAAGACGACAACTTGAAAAGACAACGTCATTTGATTGTTTTCCTGTTGTGAACATGCCTGACTCTGACAAACATCTGCTGTGTTCTCCATATATATATATGTCTGAAAACGTCTTTCGCGTTACATTTATTCCAGCATGTATATTCATTTCTATTCATGCAACGTTACTGATATCAACCAAAAAGAAATGAGAAAAAAAACACCACTGTTATTTAAGCAGATTACCAACTCTCATCTTGGATTGAGTGCTTGAGTTAGATCATAGAAAAGTAACAAAAGACAGTCGGTTTGTGTCCTTTAATAAGAACTCACCTCGGTGAACAATCTCTCATTCTCTGCGTGCAGGACATGGCTCTGCTTCTTCACAGTGGCAAAGGGTGACTGGGTAATGTGGGTGGGGACCGGCTGCTGAGCTTTGAGTGGCGAGACATGTTTGACTTGATGCTCCTTGGACGAGGTGGAAGCAGCGAAGTGAGGCTGAGCACTCTCCTCTTCATCATCGTCAAGGACTATGATCTTATCCGCCATCGAGGCGGGGGCCACCGCCATCCAAAACTCTAGTTATTTCTGCTTTCAGGAAATACAAACAGGGAGAATGTTGATCATGACATCTCATTTAACAAAAGACTCGACAAGTCATAAAAAAAACAACCTAAAACAGTCAGAAATGAGTGAAATAAGAAAGGAGCCTAGTGGCAGAAGAGAAAAGGATTGTGTTCAGTCCTGCAGAGGCCGAAAGACCGAACAATAACAAATGTGATTTTCTTTAAATTAAATAACAACTGCTGAGTGCTACTTGCACATTAAGTACACCTTCCACTGTAGTGGTTTGTACAGAAATGTTGTGAATTAACTGACAGTAGTCTACAACATGTTTTTGACTTTTCAATCATTCAGTGATTCTTTGTTTCCTGCGGTAGCTCGGTGACTGAGCGGGTTTGAGCTCCTGACCACAAACAACAAGCACATTTACAGGCGCCAGCTGCGCCTCTGGGACCGAGGAACATTTTCACTGTTGTGTCCGTTAACCGGCCAAATGTTTACCGGGACAAACCCCCCCCCCCCCAGACACACACACACACAGACACAGACACAGACACACGAACACATGATTGTGGGTTTTCATCCGAGGCGACGTCGTGTGAGAACACGAGCAACACACCGTGAAGGGATCGAGCCCGGTGACAGCGCGGAACAGGACAGACAGAGACTGGGACAAAGATGGAGGGGTGCGTTCCCTGACACGGACGGAGACATACTCACACGCACGGATTCTTGTTCACGGGCTGGAGTTTGACGTGACGACCAAAGAGGAACAAGCTCCTTCACGACGCATCGTCACAACACTGGCTCCCGGCGGTTAGCTAGCGTTAGCATCGGGCTGGGACTTTGCTAAGTGAGAAAATAACGAACCGGAAGAAAAGTCCACATGCTGCGTTTTCTTAAAATTGTCACGAGGAATAAAAGCAACGACCCGGGAGACTCGAGAATATCGTGATTCGAATCCCGCAGACTTTGTGTTTAAAAAAACAAAACAACGCTCGTCAACTTCGCCGGAGAACCCAGGTCGAAAATCTACCCGCTAAAGTCCGCCCAGCATCGCCTCCTCTGATTGGCTGAGGCTGAGTAACGTCGACACCCATTGGATGATTCCACCCCATTAAGAACCATTGATAAATTCAGAAAAGGTTTTTTAATTGTTTTTTTAAAAAAAAGAAACTTTGACAATATTTAATTATTTCATGAAAAGATTCGAATCAAATGTCATCAACGATGAAATCAAACCGAGACCTGCGTGTTTGTAATTTGAAAGACGCTAAAGAAGTTATAGATTCATTAAAAAAACTATTTTAATCTCTCGACCATTTAACTTTATTTAAAAACGGTAAACGAACCGTGAATATAATTAAACCAGAAACTGAGATTCAAATTTAACAAACGATTTTATCCAATTCCGGGTTGCTTGCTTTTAATTTGAAAAAACACGTAGAAGGCAGTAGATTCATCAGAAATAAAAATAAAAAATCATTAAAATCTCAATTTCATTTACATTTATTTGGCAACGGTACAAAAATAATAAATATGTTTACACGAAATGCTCAAATGAAAAACCCACAAACCATCAAATTCCGTCTCGTGTCTTTTTAATTTGAAAGACTTGTCGAAAGTTATGAATTTAAAATAAAACAAAATCATTTTTATCGACAGATTTTCGATAGAATTATTTAACAACTGTACATTTATCATGAATATCTACATCGTTGCTTTACTATCTCATAACATTACATATCAGTCAATATATCACCAGCATAACTAGTTAAATATATGGATAATTTAGGGTTTTTCTATGATTCAAAAATATTCTGAGTTCACGTATTAATCCATTTCTCAAAAACTGTACAAGATGGTGAACGTTCACTACATCGTTTTATTCTGAAAAGGACAACGGAAGTCAGTGTCTGAATAGTACAGGTTTAGGTTCCCCTTTTTTTTTTAAAGTGTTGATGACAGAATAATGTTCCGTATATTTTACAGTCATGAATGGACATGAACATTTTCTAAATTTCTAAATAATGAAAAAAATTATACAATTATTTTATTTGCACAATGTGGTGCACAAATTATTTTTGCAAGAACGTTTATAGAAATATATTTTATGTGATGTTTTTACACCCACAACTCACATTAAGAATTTCATATACGACTTTTAAAAATAGTTTCAAATTCTTTATTTTCAATCCATCACAAAGATCTGTTATATTCAGGGCTTTTCTAATCTAACTGACCACACATTCCACCTGCACTTCTACACACACATCAGCCGCGCGTTGCCAGCGCAGCACATCATTCTTAAAGTTCACTTCAGTATCCTGCTCACGACACTTATGAGCAGCCGGGGATCGATCCACATTTGGTTGTAAAATGATCCAGCATCCAATATTTTACAGGAGAAGATTACAACAGGATATTTTAGATGAGAGAAACCCCTTTCCCTTCCAATGTACCTGATTACTTTTGCACAAAAATACCCAATTTGACAAATAGTTCAAACAGAATTAAATAAATATGAGCTCAAGCAGACGTCCAGCAGGATCTGTAGGAAAAAAAACAACCTTGATTTATGACTAATATAAAAAGAAATAAAAAGAAAACAGTGACTCCAAAGTTTTAAAAAAAGACAGTTGTGGTGGGTTGGTGGCTCAGTGTCACACCTCAGTCGACATCTTTACTTCTCTTTCTGTAAGAGGACAATGGGGAAAGTTATTAATGAGAGGTGAGCATCACAGAGCAGCTCCAGAAGAATACAGCACTAATCTATACTCAATAAAGTCTGAGTTATTTTCATTATTATTCTTATTATTGGTGTTTGAGAAAGTTACCTTTGTCTCTTCATCTGCCACATCAGTGTCTGTAAACAGTGAAATAAACAACAGAAGAAAAGACAACAATTAAAAACATGTCGACGTATCTGATGCTGTATTTT